CCTAGGGAGATCAGTGACTGTCAGATGTCATTCAGCCACTGGCTCTAATGTTTACTACACATGGTACAGAAAGAGCTTTCCGACCAATATCGTATCAGTGCACAGCAGCGACCTGGTGCTTCGCTGTGGAGACCTCCTGGAGAGTCAGAGCTATTACTGCCTAGCTGCAACTCGCAGAGCAAACAAATCCACCCAGGTGTTGAGAGCAGAGGTGCTGACCCCAGCAAAAGAGAACTGCACGTACCGGTTACAATTAACAGGTAATGTTTTTATTTCAGTGTTAGCTTCATGGACTGATTAATAAATAACAGGCAAAAGAATCTGTAAAATACATGTTAAACTCCTCCCACACTAAGTTATGCTAACTAAATATGGACCCCTCCCTAAAGCAGAAAGGAATCAAGCTACAAATACAGCAGTATCGTCTCCCCATTCTTATATTGCCTATTGTACTCGTCCTTAGACGCCTAGTACATGTGCAAACAATACCAGCACATCTGCGGCATGGGGAACAGAATGTCAGACATTTTGCTCCCACAAATACCACTTCTTTGTCCCTTGAGTTAAAGGAGAATGCTCCTTAGCTGTAACAGACAGGAAGGTTTAATTTTCCTACATAAATAGAGAACTGTTCAATGTAACGTACATTATTTTCTTTGCTCCTCTTGTAGCGTAGGGGAGAGTATGAAATGTCGAATGCCAAGTGGATATGCATTGGATTCTATACAAGCAATTGTATATTTTTATTACAGATGGTGAATCATACAACTGTATAAGAACAACCCCAGTGTTTACAGTTGAGATGCCTTCAACACCCTTCATAGGCTATTCAACACCTTGCTCCAACTCCTCTAGCCATCCTGGCACAGAAGAGTAGGTACCAGCCATCACAACTATGTGTTCCTACTGATTAGATAGGGTTTCTCTCAGAAATCCTAGTGGAAAAATTTCGGTCTAAAGACATTTAAAACTATAGCTAATGTGGTGGGAATATTTGTGCCTAGGTACTATGGCAATTGGCACACTGGGAATATTGGAAAGAGACACGATAGAAAGAAAATCAGTACAGAAGAGATTTAATAGGGAATGAAATTGCTAACTTGATCCAAATGTCAGAGCACTGTGCCAAAGTGTTACAGATGACAAGAGCTTGACAAGACTTAAAAAAGGATCAAGCACTTATAAGGACAATGAGAACTTTCAGTTACAGAAGGAAGGACTGTAATGAATTATAAAGAGGATCATGCTTCAGGGTACAGGCTGATCACTGAACTGCCCAGGTTAAAGAAAGACTTCTAGGTGGGCAGGATATTCCATAATTGTCTCACTGGGTTTCCTGAACTTTCCTCTAAGACATCTGGCACTTGCCTCGGCTGGTGCCAGGATACCTCACTAGATGGACCATTGTTTTGATCCACTATGGAAATCCCCATGTTTCTATTTAGAAATAAGGGCAATGAATGGGACAACAGAATTCAGCACCACTGTTTGAAAAACAAATGGTAACAATGTGACTTTTGCTCCTAAATTCTGTGGGCATTTTTGAAAAAAATCTCCCCCCCTCGAACTTGTGCTTGTTGTATTAAATGTTTGTTAAAAGGATCTTTTACCTGCAGATCCAGTATTTCCACAGTGGCTACTCAAAATGATTTATTGTCCTCTTTGGCTTTAGTAGTTGGATCCCAGTTCCATGGGCTGTTCTGCGCTGGCTGTTCCTGGTTATTCTAGTAGCATCTTTAATCATCATTCAGAGCACCAGGACATAGAAAAGTGGTGAGTTTCTTTTAACTGTAAAGACAATTTTCATTCAGTTCAATAGCACAATTAACAGTGTAACAATTCTCTACCAAACGGTCAAGCAAAAGATGCTTGTGTGTATAATTGTATATAAAAGCTATGTATTAAAATACTATTAATGTGCATTTTACTAATATATGCTCAAATGTGACTTGAGAGACTAGGCAGGTTTTGATTTTTTTATTTCATTTGCTGTAAATATTTTACGATCTTTATAAAGACAATTTCCATTTCTACTGAAGCTTTTTAAACCTATGATCAAGGAAAAAAGCTTATTTACTGAACAGAAGCAGTTTCCTGCTTCTGCACTGCTGGAAGCTAGCAGTTCTCCCTAGAACGCTGCTTCTGGGTATTGCCAGTAGTGTGCGCTCTGATATACTTACTCCCAAGCAGTAAATCTTTGACCCACCAGGTCTTAACATATGGTATACTTATTCTCTGAAGTTTTTTTAAGTGTAAAATTTTAATTGCTTTACATTTCTGTTCATATCAATGGAATTGTTTTCTCATGTGGTTTTGGCATGAGGTTTAAAAAACAAAACCAAATACCAACAGAAGTTGAGTCCTAAGACTAATACTGTAGTGAGTTGCAGCTCTTTGCTAGCAAAAACCTGATACTTTGCTCTTATGATACGTCATGGTCATGACACCTTACCAATTGTTTCCTCTTCCTTTATATACCATAAGCCTGGAGATATTTGATTAAAATATAGATACTTTGAATTAAAAAACCTACCAGTAAAATTGTATTAACAAAATCAAAGGTACCCACGGATTATAAATTTGTCCCAAATCCTTGATAAATGAGAATGTCATGCTTCTTTAAGCGTGAGCTGCCTGCTTGCAGCTTGACCCAACCGTACCCTTATTCACTAATAAAGATGCCCATTCAAGAAATATTTAAGAGGCCCAAATTATTCATGGATCATGAGCATAAGTCAAATCTGGAACCTGCATGGGAATCTAGGAAAATTATTTTTCCATAGTAGAAGATGCATCATTCTGGCACATTAGGAGTTGAATCTATATTTATCCTGCTGCTCTTCTGTATACAAGGGCAGGTGGCTATGCAGCATCTAGACTACTTAACCACCTGCTGGGTTTCATACCGGGCTGCTCTGAGTGGGTTTGAGTCCAGGGTTCAAACAATCAGAAAGCACATTACAATAAAAATATCCTTTGGTTTTAGATTAAAACAAACTGAAAGATTTTATTTTTAAGACTTCATTTCCAGAATCTTTGAAGTGCCCCCCTCCATTATCCCACCAAGAGAAGGTCAGAGAGACTCGCATGGTCTTTGGTGAAGTCTCATTTCCAGGCCATCACCAGCATTGCGATATTACCTACCCCCGGCACAGGAGGATGCGGTCATCTGGACCTGTTATCAGTAGAACATCTTGACACCTCCAGCACACTGGGTCACCCAAAAGACCACACTTCTCTGTACATCATTCAGCATACAGGAAGCAATGTCTTGATAAACTCCGAATACACAGACTGTTCTAGCAACAAAGACAATATGCAAAATCCAGTTTCCAGTCACATTTATAACTCTCTCTTTTGCATGTGAGCTGCACTCTATGTTCTAAAAATGCATTTGACAGATGCTGTGCACACAAAACAGGTTCAGTTAGCTTGTGCGTTCATCACATTAATCTGAAACCTACATAAGGTTCCTAGACAGAGATAATGCCTGTGTGTATATTTGGGGTCCACCCTTCCCAGCCAGGCTTCCCCAGATCCAGGCCAGAGTACCTAGTCCTGCTCCACCAGACATCACTGCTAGGAGACAGGGTCAAGGGGCTCCAACTCTATTAGCCTTTAAAAAAAATAAATCCACTATGCCAAACTACTCCACCTTACACAACTTCCTAGTGAAACTTCTCCAGCTGACAAGACCCAGAGTGAGTCTACAGTGGCAGAAAGGAGAAGACTTCAAACTGGGAACCAGATATGAGAGGAGCAAAACCCCCTAAACTTCCTAGACACTCAAAAGGTTCTGCACCAGTAGTGAAAATCTCAGACTGAGTGTCCCTGGATAGATAGCCAGCAAAGCAACGCCTTTGGGGGATTTCAGAGTTAGTTACAGACTCGCAAAAAAACAAGCAAAATGGCAGAATTATTGGATTTTTGTCACAAATCCAGTTCAGAGTACTTCTGCAGAACTCTTGCCTGGTTTTCTGAGTGGCAACAGACCTCTCTATCCCCAAAAGAGACATTTCTGTCAAATTTAAATTTTGTAAAAGCAATTCTTCATGTAACTGTAGAGCAACAGAAATGTGTGAAAATTCTAAGGGAAAAACCACCATTTTAAAACAAACACTGACCTGTAGCGTTTGAAACCCAAACATGGCCACACTAAGCCCCTGTACGCCAGTGAAACTGATGCCATTGTCCAAGTAGAGAGAAATGCAGATAGCAAATGAAGTGCATAAGAATGATAAACTGGATTTTTATATTCTTCCCTTCCAGTGATCCAGGGTGTGTTAGTAACAGACACACACTTGTTTGCAACCTGATTTTTAAATGGACATCTTCCATTTGAGAGGCTGTAAGGGCAAATCCCCTAATTAAATCAAGTTTCAGAGTAGCAGCCGTGTTAGTCTGTATCCGCAAAAAGAACAGGAGTACTTGTGGCACCATGTCAAGGCTGTATCCCCACTTTGAACTTTAGGGTACAAGTGTGGGGGCCTGCATGAAGACTTCTAAGCTTAACTACCAGCTTAGATCTGGTCCGCTGCCACCATTCCCACAAGCTAATTCCCTTCCCTGGGAAGCTTTGAGAAACCTTTCACCAATTCCCTGGTGAATACAGATCCAAACCCCTTGGATCTTAAAACAAGGAGAAATTGACCCTTCCCCCCTCCTTCCTTTCACCAACTCCTGGTGAATACAGATCCAACTTCCTTGGATCTAATTAAATCAACTAGCAGTACAGCTACTTTCCCTCAAGCCAGCTCACACCCTGCCGGATTTCCACTCCGAGGGGCCCACAAGACCCAGATCCAGGTTGGAATTAAGTATTTAATAATTACCCTATTGCCTAGAGACCCCAAAAAGAGGATTGGAGCCTCTTGTGTTGGGTACTGTGCAAGCACACCGTAGGAGATGTGGTCACTGCCCTGAACAGCTTACAATATGAGACCAGATGGGAGGAAAAAGATGCAATCAAATTCATATAGTTTGCATGGATACAGATTCATTTGCTCATTTTATTAAAAATACATTAAGTTGGGCCACTGTGCTCATCTGCCTCTCAGCCCAGACATCACTGACCCACTGATTTCATATAGGTGTCAGAGCTGAGTCTGGAGGAGAGGGAAGTGGGTTTACAGAGAAATTCCAAATAACTCCCCACAGATTCCTTGAGTAGCAGCAGCTGGCTTCTGAGGGGACCGCTGGTGGGGTGGAACCATCTCTCTATGACTGCCCCAGTGATGATTTGGGGTGGGATATTCCAGGTTCAGCTGGCTCTCCCACAGAGTCCTATATGGTATGTAGGCCTTGTTTCACTGGCCTACTCATCTAATGAACTGATTCAACAGCAGCATCCCAACGAGCCCTCTGCAAACTGCAGGATCATGTAAAACCTTGAATCCTTATGGAGTCACTCCAGCAAACCCAAGCGTAATGTGGCACAGGCTAAGACACAGATTTGGTGTAGCTGATTTTACTGCAGAGCATATATACCAGTAGCTCCTGGGGGACTATATGTGAGTGCCTCTTTCTGTTAATACCAACTCCTAGAGGTAGCAGGAGGAGGTTTGACTGGGCTTTCAGTGAGCATGGCCAGCTAGAGAAGACAATTCCCCTAATTGTAGAAGTTTGTTAACTCTTAGAGCGCTAGAGAAGTAGGATGGCCAAGAGTGTTCACTGTTACCAGTTCTCACATCTGTGGGCTCTGCTATAAATAGCATTCTTCTTGTTCACAGTGTCCTCCTTTTTGGCTTGCTCGGACTCAATTCCTTGGCTGGTCTGTTTCCCAACACGATACTAGGCAGCCATCTCTGGCTCCCTCTCCCTTCGGTGTTACAGGGTAGGAGTTCAGCACCAAAGCTAGCAGAACAAATGTGTTGCTGTCAGTCCTCACACTTAGAAGTTGCATTTACAGCCTATGTTGGAGGGAAACCAAATCAATCCTACAAATTATTTGTAAATAAATGAATAAGTGCAAGAACAAGAGAGCCACATCTGGTGTGGAAGAATAGCTCCATGTTGAGGTGTCCCAATTACTGACTGGATCGATCTTCGGGGCAGAGGGAAGTAGAAAGACTGATGGCTGGGAAAACAATTTTCAGAAAACAGTTTAATAGTTTAAGTCAAGTCATTGAAAGCTGCCATTTCAGTCCCTGGGAGGCAGTGTAGCCTTTTCCATCAGTTTTCAAAGTTCTCCTAAAAGAATCGAAAGAAAGAATTAAAAACAATGGTTAAAGGAACTAGCAGTAAGAGAGATGGCCCAAGTGCAGGATAGGGAAACCAGTTCTACTCCCAGCTTGCATGCCAACTTTCCCTCTGGCCTGGGCCAAGTCACTTCATCTTTCCAGGCCTCAGTTTCTTCAGCAGTACAATGGGGAGCCCTACCCCCACAAGGGGATGAGAGAAAGTGTCTGTAAAGCCCTTAGGAGCTAGAAAGAGCAACATATGATTAACTTTTATTCCTTATGAACTTATCTAGGGCAGAAATGTTAGAGACTCAGGGTGCTGAGACAGCGGTGAAATCCCGTTGAAGTCAATAGGAAGGATACCATTGACTTCAGCGAAGGCAGGATTTCACCAAGACGTTTAACACAGCAGTGCTTCAGATAGAGAGACAATAACACCTGAAACGTAGGACTATTAGGGGAAACAATCTGGTGTTTTTGGGGTCAGTGGCCAGCAATGCCAGGGCATGCCCCAGGATGGCATGTTGCAGGGCTGAGCAGCTAGGCTGACAGGGTTAGGACATCTCCTTGGACGTGCCAATGAATGGTGCCCTCAGAACACTGGGTCGCACTGTAGCCAGTTCAGACTAGCAAAGGAACAGAGCCACAAGTGCCAACAGAAGAATTTCAGTGACCGTTGAGCACTCACCCAGCCACCACGGGTCTCGATGTATCCTCTCACTTCACGGTTCCCATTAATCAGCTCCACAAACTGGATTCGACGGGCCACAGCTGGAACTTTCCGGGAAAGGTATGCTAACAATTTCACAGACACTGCCAGAAAAGCCCTCTCGTAGCCCAGCCCAGGATTCAGGCTGCTCCAACTCTTGCTGAGAGAATCCACCATGACTCCAAATTCCTCCACCTGGAAACACCAAGAGGAGGCTTTATAAAATACCACCATTAAAATAAGTCTTGGTTCAAACCCCACAGGGTTACCCAGGCCTGGCTTGCTCTGCTCTATGATTGAGGCAGGTGACCCCTTTGGCCAGTGCATTGCTTGGTACATCTAAAGTCAGACTGTAAGATCGTCAGGGCAGAGACTATATGTACTAGGTGTTTGTACAGTGCTACTGTAGTTCACACAACAGTGCTGGGGGAGAAGGAGGGGCAGTTTCCAATTTAACGAGGACTGCAAAGAGCTTAGAGCTAGAGGAGCATGAGCATTCATATTGAAACTGGGCTGGGATGAGTTCCAACCTCAGACCAGGCTCATGTCAGGTCAGCTAACACAGGCTGGGGCTGTTCAGACAGCTCCCTGTCTTCATTCCCCTCCCGCCCCCCATCGTCCAAGAGCAGCCCCTCCCATCTCAAGACAAAGCATCCTCTCACATAATACCACTTCAGTTAAGAAAGGGAGGTGCTGGGCTCTACAGCATATTGCAGGAGAGGGATAGACCCTGGCCTAAACAAAGAGAGTGATTCTGCATTACCTTTCCCTTAGCCATCTCAGCAATGACGCGCTGGGCAGGCTGCTCCAGATCCTCGTTATATTGGTCTCCTAGTCTCCGCAGACGACTGGCAATAATAACCGAATCAAAGGTACTTGAAGCTTCTGCTCCTGCAGAGAGCGCACGTTCTAAGACGGCAGAGAGAGAGCAGGAAAAAGGGGTACAACCTGCAGGTCGAGTGGTTGAGGTTGAGAATGCCTGTTTCATATCTAAACTTATTTTTTAATTATTTTATATTACATGAAAAAAATAGTGTTAAAAGAATGCGAGGTCAGGCACACAGAAATTAGGAAATGCCAGATGAAGATTCCCCATGCAACCTTAATTTGGACCCCTTGTGCGTATGCATTATGGGATGATAGTTAATTATATTATCACAGAATAGTTCCTAATAGTTCCTAATTAAAAAATCCAAAAGACTAAAAACCAGAATTTTTATCATGTGGAATCATACGGACACCTGATTTGGGTCATCAGTCGGGTTCAGATCTTTAGATCCACAGCACAGACCTGTACCACTTGAGTTAAGAGAGTAACTGGTAACAGAACGAGGCTGAGTACAAGGTTCAGGCAATAGGCGAAACACACAGTTTGCCAAAGGGGTTAACACAGCTATTTGCTGACAGCAGAGGAACACAGACAACTCCTGGGTTCAAATCTAGGTTCTGGAGGACAGTGTGTCTAATGGTGAGACCCTTCTGCCCTTGCCCCTAGCCTCCCACAAGCCTGACCCCCTCTGCCCCCTCCCGTCTGTCTCAATCCCTCCACCTGACATGGGTTCATGTTCCAGTTCACTACCCTTTCCAGACCCTAGTCTCATCCTCCTACCAACATCCCCAATGCCCAACTTATTTCTTCCTCCTCCTCCATGCTTCCTGGCAGCCAGCAGGGGGAGCAACGAGAACAAATTAGAGATTCTCTGATTTGGTGCCCAGTACCCCAGCAGCCCCGTCAGCTGGGAGCAGCATTTGCAGAAAAAGTCCTGCTTATCCTCTGTATTTCCAGGCTGGAATATGCTCAGTACAGGCAGAATCTTCAGCAAATTCACCCGTCAAACCATTTAGTTTCTAATAAATGTGCAAACGGCAGTTTTTCAAAGGCTTAACAATGTAGCTAGTTTGGGCTCTTTTGCCACAGGGATGGTAAAAGGCACAATCCTGACACAAATGTGCCCTCTGCCCAAGTTTCAAGTTCCTGCTCAAATGCAGGATGGTGCTAGAGCTTCTCAGCAGAACGGTTTTAAAAATTTAAGATGGGCAAAACACACGTTTCCCTAAACACATTCTAAGAAATAACTATTTTTTCTTGACATTTTCCAAAGCAGAGTTCAGCCTGAGGCAAATGCCCAGCACTGAAAATTTCAATCCAAATTGTTACACTTTGGCAAAGTTGTAAGCCACTGAAGATCGGAAGTGTTGAGCAACTTTATCTAGCGGGGTTGCTAGCTGCTCCGCCCAGGCTGGGTAAGTCCTAGTTGCCCTTTCTTATTACATTGCTAAGTTGCTCTCTTATTACTCCAAATATTTGGATATTTTAATATTTAGCAGCCCCCAACCCCCTGTAGAACTCTGGCTTAAACCCCACACTAGATTCCACAGGTTCAGGAAAACTTAATTTGAGCTGCAGCCATTCACCAGGCTGTTTTCACAATACTCCAGTCAGTGGAAATAGACTTGTACGTGACTCATTAGCCTGATGGGAGCTCAGCACAGGGGACAGGCAGATGGGAGACTCCCTCTGGGCCAAGCTTCCCTTTCCTCCTTCAGCTCCCTCCTCCAAGCAGGCTTCCATGAAACCTTTGAGAAACAAATGCTGCTTGATGCTTACAGCACCTCCCACTTGCACCAACTTACAGCCACTCTCTAGGCCCGATTGTCTTTTGGCTGGGTCTGAACTAGACTGTACACTCCCTGGGACGGAGACCAGACCCTTCCTTATTTGTTAAGCCCCAAGTACAGTGTTGGTACTCGATACATTCATGATAATTAGTTCTTTGGTTACAAGGACCAGGACCAGTTACACTTTCCCCATCACTATTAGGACAAGTTATTTTTATGGAGATTTGGCGAGTGAAAAAGTTACTGGCATTGATAACTGGAATCCAAAAATCCCAGGCGCTCTACAGACTATTACAAATATATGTAAGCTGCACATTTGTGATGCAGCCTGGGTTTTTCAATGACAAGCAGTCAGGATCTCCATTTTGCATCTCATTGGAAAGTCCTTTCCAATAGCATAGTTCTCCATAGCCCCACATCAGGGAAATGGTTCAACCTGGACTGAGAGGGAAGGGCAATACCGCTCCTTGCAGTCACCTGAAGACTCTCATGGAAATACTGACCTGTGCCAACCCTGCTTCGCTTGAGACCTGCCAGCCCAAACTGCAGCCCACCTCTCTATCCATTCCAGGAACACCCCAACAGGACATTTACCTAGAACCTTCAGCCAAGAAAGCCTCCTGCCTCCCCCCAGAGATTTGGTCCCAGGTGACTTTACCTGCATGTGACTCAGCAAAAGAGTCTGTCTCCAGACTGCGGGAAGCAAGCCATTCGTCTTCCCCTAGGAGATCAGAGAGAAGTGCCTCCACAATGCACTCTGTTTGCTCCTCAAAAGTCCTAGGGCTCTTCATTTTAATACGTCCCCCCCCTTGGATTATCTGAAGTTCAAACAGAAGCCAAGCGGCCCCTGCAGCTGTTCCTCTTCCGGGTAAGGTTTGTGCACAGAACCTTTAGAAGCTTTCCTCCTTCCTGGTCAGCTCAGCATGCGTCACACCCTCCCAAGGGCAAGTGCCTTAGGGAGACTCCTCCTCCCCAGGGCAGGGTAAAGCACTGACAGGCTATTTCATCCCTCAGTCTTGCTCTCCTGCACATGGGTGCGTCAAAGTTTCACAATAACCATTTACTGTATAAAACAGCTGTCGAGAATGAAGTTTTTCCAAAGTCCATGCTTCACCAAGGGATACCCAGCCTAGAATGAGTCTTGGACTCAGAGGTCATGTCTACACAGGGATTGGAACCAGGTTACCTGCAACTGTGTAAACATGAGGAGTTGCTGACAGGGTACAAGGGTGTTTTTGCTGATAATTTCATAATGCAAATATGCTCCCATCACCCAGAGCAGCCAGAGGTGTGGCTAAGTGAACTCAGCTCACACAGGAAAGGTCCTGTAAGCTGGTGATAAGAGACACCAGACTACAGTCTATGCAACTGCATACCCAACTGCAGCTATAGCAGGCAGCCTTAGCTGAGGTTTCGCTAGCGTGACCATACCTGCTGAATGCTTACATACTGCAGAGAACAGATCCACAAAGATGGTCAGTGGACTTCACAGCAAATTCTGCGCTGCTGCTCCCAAGGTAACAAGAGCAGCCACTTCACCAGCACAAGAGGGGTTTTATGGCAATGAGGGAAGAAGCCATTCCCTAAGTGTGGGAGGTCTAACCTGGTGTGGCTCTTAACTCAGAGTCACAGGGTGGACACTGAGGGTACATCTACACTGCAAACAAAGAGCCATGGCAGCAAGTCTCAGAACCTGGGTCAGCGGATGCCAGCTGGGAGCTAAAAATAGCTAGTTGTGTAGACATTCCCAGTTGCGCTGATGCCCGAGCTCTGAAACCCAAAAGTGGGGGCTCCAGCCTGAGTGGGCACTTCTACACTGCTCTTTTTAGCGCTGTAGCATGAGCCCATGTCAGTTGCTGGGGGCTCTGAGACTTGCTGCCATGGTTTTTTTTGGGGGGAAGGGGCAATGTAGACATGCCTTAAGAGGGAGTTGGTTCAGCCCACCTGTGCCTCATTATGCATCTCACAGTGGCACATGATAGAGGACAGCTGGTCTCTATCAAGAGAGGGGAACAGTAGCATACAGTGCAAGAGCTGCAGTGAGCAAGAGGCTCCTGGTGCAGACTACGGGGGAAAAGAAAAGAACACTCCAGGAAGGGTTGGGAGCGGCCTACTAAAAGCAGCCAGTTGAGTTGAACTTCATAGACTTTATTTGGGGATTTTGAAGTTAATAAGCCCAGCCCCAAGGAGCGGTGGTTGAACAGAGAGAAGCCTGCATGTAGTTTACTGCGGAGCCCTGAAGAGGAACACTAAGGGTCTGTCTCCACTGCATACTCCATATGGCAGCACGTCGAGTATATACACTGCATGCCCCTCTAGCACAGGTATAAACAACATTCCCAGTCCTCTCTAGAGAGATCTGACTCCAATATTAAATCTTTCTTTTATTCATGTAACTAGCACTGGAGTTGTTTCTGCTTCAGTAACCCCATCAGAAGCACCAGACTGATGATCCATCCCCCCAGCCTTCAGAGTTGCGAGACCTTGATGGATTTTGAATCTTTCCCATGCACCTGTTATAATGCAGTATGTGAAGAAACTAGCTACACTCACACCTTATGCTGCCCCTGGGCCACACACTATTCCCACTGGCACTAATGGCAGCACTAAGGCAGATCGGGGGCTGTTCAAGGCTCTTACAAACAGTTTAGAAGAAGAGCAATTTAACTTCAGTAACGCCACGCTGAGCCGTAGAAAAGATCTTCCCTACACCCCGAGTGAGCCTGCTCCGAGCAGGGCTTAGAGGAATCAGGATTTCAGCCCTAGGACTGTCCCCATTACAGTTCTTAACACTGAGATAAAGTGTTGCAGCACCTCAGTCCTCTCCTCACTCTGCTTCACGGAAACCTGCATCTCTGAGTTCTCGGTCTCAAGCAGCAGTTCTGTTAGGAAGAGACAGCCAGACTCATCCTGGGCACTGAGATAGGCTTTCCATGGCTGGGCGCCAGCTTTACTCATAGCAATAGTCTGGATGTGGACAACCTGAAGCGCAGTCTGTATGGTGTCTGGGTGAGCAGCTCCATGCCAGGGCAGAGCCTGCTGGCAGTTCACATCCAGACTCAGCCAGGTCTTCTCAAACTGCTCTGCAGTCAGGTGGGCCTTGGGGATTAAAGTCAAGCCAGCCGAGTCGGAATGAACCTGGAGAACTTCCTTATTCCCTTCTGAAATTAGTGACTCTGAAATCAAATATGGAACAGGGTGAGAAATGGCATTGGGAATGCTGCCCCCAGTATCACCAAGAGTGTCTGACGGACCTATCAGCAACACAAACCCGGGAAGTGTAATGCCTCCAATATTCCACCGGGGTGAGCAGACTGTGAACAGCCAAGTGTTAAGTGAAAGGCTGAGACCCCATAACAGCCTTTTGTACTCAAGGCTTCAGTGCTAAAACCTGGGATCCTCCCAGAGGGTCAAACATAGGAAGATTTATCAATGGAGGAAGGTATTTTTCTAGCTGAGCGTGTGACTACCTGTTCCTGCAGTCATCGGAGCAGCAAAGGGAAAGCCTCCGCAGCGCGGCTCCGTTGCCCAGTTAGCAGTGACAACTGCCCAGCGCGCTTTCCCATATATGGGCACCAACGTGTTAAACTCTGAAGCCCATTTGTTCACAGGTCGCTCAGCCTGATCCTCCAGGAGTCCCAGAGAGGGATCAGACTTGGGGCTGCACAGCACTTGCTTCGCTTCTTCCACGCCAGCTTGTAAGAGACGATAGTAGAACAGCCCCCGGTCCCGTACCACCATATCAGTCTCTTCCTCTGGAAAGATGAACACACACATGTTCACTCAGGGCATGCTAGCATTCATAGATCAGACCTCAATGGACAACCCTTCGCTGGTACATACCAACCAACACCTGGATCCTGAGTGCTGTCCATTTCCTCTACCACTTTGCAGAGCTAGGGGCCAAACAGCAGCAGGAGTAGCAGCAGCAAGGTGGTAAACAGGAGCAAGGGCAAAGAGGCAGACAGGAAGAGGGCTAGATTCTGCATTTGCATCCACATAGGAGGATGTCAAAAACTTATTTTAAAACTAGTCCGGATCTTTGAGCTGAGGAGTTTCTGCCACAAAATTCTCCATCTGTCACTGCAGTGTGTGCGAGAGTCCCCAGCAGGGACACCCCCACCTATGCAGTAATACAGCAGGTGCCCTGACATAAATTTAGCACAGGGCTGCGGGCATGAGAGTCTCAGCAAGACATACCCACCTATGCAGTAATAGAGCAGTCGCCCGAGTATGTCCTGGCATTCGGCAGGACGAAACAGGAAGAGTCGGACCAAAGCTGTCAGCAACTCCATCTTCACTGCTGGAAACGTCTCCGATCTCACATTCTCGACAAAGTCCTCCAAAACATAGGGAGCATTGGGAACTCTCTCCCCATGCACTCCCAGGAGCCAGATCAGCGCTTGCTTGCCCTGGGGAGTCAAACAACACCACCGGATGCTCAGAGCCAAGCCACTCCACACTGCACTTCTAGTACAATCTGTGACCAAGGACCTTTGACACCAACTGGCAGAAGGCACAGGGATACATAGGAGTACAGGGATCCCCTGGGTTCACCAAAAGGGGTCATGTGGTGGCCATATTCATTGCAAGATGTATGTAAGGAAAGCGTGAGGAGTTACGAATACATGCTGAAAATTATGTTCTCTAGGTTTTGTAGGTAAAGGCAGGTCACTCAAAGATTCTGTGCCTTGAGACAAACTTCTCCAGACAGGAGATGGGAGACCTGGTGGACCATTGTGTACCGTGGGTCTTACAACAGAAGTTTAACAACATACTAAATCAAATGCTGAAGAAGAGCTTGCGGAGACTTCAGAAGGAAATTAACAGGAACAGCAGGGGGAGAGGTAGAAACCTATTTTCAGGTAAAGATCAAAGGTCTGGTCTGGAATATCTGGGGCTCTACAGAAACATCCTGGCATCCTTCAATCTCTGAAGACAAGTGGTCAGTAAGCTTGAGGTTATGAAAGGGGGCTCTCAGCCATCCTGGCTAAAAACACTGAGAAAAGGACTTGGACTAAGCGATCCTGTAGGAGACAGGGAATGTCTTGTGAGTTAAGTTTTGGCTCTAAAAGGCACATCATGTTATGATTTTCCTTTACATGTAACCATCTGTTTCTAATATTTTTATTTACTGTCATTTGAATCTCTGCTCTTTGATAAAGTTATTGTTTTCACTATAAATCTATCTAAGTGCTGCATGTTAAGTGGAGTGGGGATCCTGAGTTGAACCTTGTGTAAGTTGGTGTGTACTGTTCCTTCGGGAGAAGCAAAGCTGAGTTCTGAATGTTCAGTGGAACAGGAGCTGGGTAGTCCAGAAGCTTGGTACATGTCTATTGTTAACCTCTAGAGAGAGTGCGATGCCTGCGGACACCTGGATGGCAGTGCTTGTATTACGGGGGCTGGTGCAGCAGGCACTGACAAGACTCCCTCACGCTAAGGGCAGGAATTAGCGAGGTGCCTCATAACCCTGGGTACCCCTGAGAAGAATTACACCACCACCAGAGCATCAGGTGGACTGGGAACCCCAGGCTGCAGATCACCAGGATGGTGCTCAGCTCAGAACTGTTTATTGGAGAGAGGAGTATTCAAGACAAGAGTCTCCCGATATTTAAATAGTAACATCAGCCAACACAGAAACACCCAGCACTTAATACCAGGCTTTCCCTCTCCAGAGCACTGGACCAGCGCGAACCAACAGCCTCACAACAGTCCTGTGAAGCAGGACTATTGTAATATCCTTTTACAGACCGGCAAACCACAGCAGAGAGGTGATGGGACATGCCCAGGCATCAGCATGATTCCATGTCAGAGCTGGAATAGAATTCTAGAGTCCTAGCTCTCAGGCTAGTTCCCCAGACCACACTTCTGTATGCCCTAAATACAGTGGTTATCTGGGGTTAAGGGAAGTGGTGGGATCTCCGTTGTCCTAGCCCAAAAGGGGCCATGTACAGACAACTTGGCTGACATCACTGTACTGAGGAGGGGCCTGCAAACAGTGCTGCTCTAAACTGCCAAGTAACAGGTGCTCACAGATTCAAAGGCCAGAGCTTCCCTCCACCCCATGGAGAAGTTTTTCTACAGCCTAGGAGCTCCCATCATTCAGATGCTCTTGAGATTCAGCCTGAATTTGACTAGGAGGGATGGGACGTAACTGAACAAAGGCATAATCCCTCATCCCACCCCAAATGATTCCTCTCCCTCCTTGGTGCTCACACCCTTCAAATACTTGTTTGGCCACTCCAAGCAGAGCTGGCTCTGTTTAGCAGTTCTACATGACAGGAGACGGATCGCCATTCGGCTAACTGCATGAAGCCTCCCTACCTCGCTGTCCTGCATGGCCTCCTCACAGCTGGGCAGAGCCTGGCACACAGCCTCAGTGCACTGGGGACAAAGCCACACCAGGTCCCGGAAAGCCTGCACCACAGCTGCAGTGGAACAGAATGCTCAGCGTCTAACAGCAGCTTTTTAAAATCACCACCCCAAGAAAATAATTCACCACCTATCAGATCTGGCCGATTCGGAGTGAGCCAGGTCAGTGCTGCACTCATTCATGCTATTTGGAGCACTTTTCTTCAAAGCCTCACAGCACTGGGGTTTGCCATAGTAAATGTAAAGCCTTTGCTCCCCCCATCCAAAATAAAATGTTTAAATGGCAAAGATTGCTTCTTTGGCTGCAGTGACGCAATCTCCCCCAGCCATCCCCTGTCCTTGAGAAGGCAGTGACTGACTGTCTCACAGCAACAGTGTTTTAAGGTGAGTCTCTACAGCAACTGCTGCTAACTTATAAACTTGCATATACATTCTAAAAATTAATTCATTTGGTGACTGGAAAAAGCTGCAATTTTGAAAGCCCATAAAAGGTGGAGAAAAATTATTCAAAAGAAGCGAGGGAAACAGTGAATGATGTTAAATCTGAAAGCAGCAGGAAAACCAGAGAGCAGAGTCAGTTACATCAGTGACTGAAATTACAAAAGGGGCAGAGACTAAAGCAGCCAGTGGGAAACAACTTTAAGGTCAGAACTTTCAATCAACTTGACCTTTATAAAAGAGCCATTAAAATATCTCAGTACAGTCCCTCACTCCCTGAGCTAGCAGGTTCAGTCCACATCACACAGTGGATGGAGCTGTGTCCGGTCCCCGCTTAAGCACAAGGAAGGTAGCTAAGATAGGAGAAGTTATAAAGTCCACACAAGGAAGATGCCTACCAGGTTAGAAGCCACACCAAATGATTATCTTGTGGTCACCTGGACAGGGATTTCCCAAATCCCAGCCCAGAGCCACACAACTCTACCAAAGCTAGATGTCCTGGTGGCGAGGCCATTTCTTGAAAGCGTGAAGCAAGCAAACCCGAGAACTCAGCCAGCAGCAAATCCTTACCTGAAGTGATATGTTCTTGCTTAAGCCCTAGGAGCTCCGTTAGAATCCCCACACACTGCTCTGTATACGTCCTGGCAATGCTGCCTGAGGAAGCACCAAGGGGAACAAGTCAAGCTTTGGTCAGAGAAATGGACAGGCGTGCTTATGCTATCCACCACAAAGTCATGTTAGAGTGATATTCTCCCTCGTCTGAAAACACTTGTTAGCCTGCTATTACGGCAGAGAAACAATCTACAGGTTGGTCCTGCTTTGAGCAGGGGGTTGGACTAGATGACCTCCTGAGGTCTCTTCCAACCCTGACATTCTATGATACCGCTCACTACAGCTAAAAAAAAAATGGAAAAAATAAATCCTGATGAGAATGCTCTAGTTCCCTCAGCACACACACAAATGAGAGAAAGTCTGGTACACCTAAGGGAAGAATCCATTCACAATTTAAAAACAGACATTTTAAATGCAATATTAGGGACCCCAAACAACCTTAACTCTGCCCCCATAGCACTACCCAGAAATTTAGGGCCCACCCATCCACCCCACGGGTTCATTACGATTCCACGTTTTCATGCTCCCTAATAAGATGGGTGGGTGGGTAAAGTCACCTCATGCGCACATCAGTCCAGCCCAGCCTGCTAGGAGCCAATGGCTTGCTAGCAACTTAGCGTTTCTGGGGCACCCGGCCCAGGCAGAGCAATTCAGAAATGCTCAGGAACGCCTTCGTATTTCTGGGGATCAGGCTCAGCCTGGGGTGCGGCACCAGGACAGCTCTGACACACAGTGCTCTTTCGTCGCTGGCCTAGGCTTGTTTCGGTGAAGAAAGGCCTATTTGAGAGATTTCAGAGACAACCCCCGGCTGTTTCTGAAGCAAAAGCAGAGCTCTTACCTATGGCGAAGATGGCCCCCTGGGCAAGCTCGGCTGACACATCAGTGCAGTAACTCTTCAGCTCCTCCAGCACCTGCTGCACATTCTCATCATTCACCAGCTCACACAGCACTTCCATCTTCTGACATTTAATGTAATGGGGCTCCGAGTAGGAACAGAAAAACTTCTTGTAATGGCTGCTAAAGTGGCCAGGCAGGCTTCCCAGGATCTGGCGCACATGACACAGGGCAGCGAAGCAGAGCTCCCGGCTCTCGGAGGTGCAGGCCGCCAGCAGTGGTCCCTTCACTCTAACTAGTACATCTGTCTGTACCTGTGGGAAGTCCTTGGCCAACACCAGAAAGAGTTTGGTGGCTGCCATCACAACACCGGGGCTGCTGCTCTTGAGGGACCCATCTAGTAAGCTGAGGATGTCGAAGAGTTCTTCCTCACTGCGGGGTTTGTAGCGCAGCAGGAAGGCCAGCACCTCACTCTGTCCCCACTGGTCTAAGTCAGACATTCTGCCAAGAAAGCAGCACGGTAAACAGGTCACAAAAGATGCAGCACTACAGAAGGATCATTCCAGGGCAGAGCCTGCAGCTGTTGCACTTTGTATGGTTTCAGCATACCCACCAATTGCCAGGTTTGTACATGCGGACACCAGCATTCTCTCTCAAGGGAACCAGTCAGTTCACATGCATGCTGAAGCTGAACTCTGTCTCAGTCACTCACACCTGCCCTCAAGCACTAAACCAGAGAGAAACACTGAGAAGGTGCATGGCTAGAGCAAAAGAGAAAGGATGCCACTCCCTTGACTGAACCAACCCAGACCTGTCTGAAGAGAAGCTGATTCCTTCAGACACTGGACACCATCCCTGCCACATTACACATATTGGGAGGTAGTGGGACAGACAGGCTAGAACAGCTGGTCCTACACTGATGTGCCCCAGCTGTTGTCAGGGAAGAAAGAACCTTTAGATAAGCCATGATACAACTTGTAATTCTAAATAAACCGATAGTTGGTCACAAACTTCTCCTGGAAACTGAGGTTGGTTCTGTGTATCACTGGGAAGGCCTCAGATTTCACATGTGACAGTGAGGTTAATCTGGCACTCTCCTATCTTTTTGGGGGGTGGGAGGGAACAACTTACAGCAATGGAATTTGTTTCCAAAGCCTCCTCTCAGCTCTGCCAGGAGCTGACACATCTGCTCTGCTGCCATACAGAACACAGGGGGATCTCACTAGAGTGAAGCTTCCAGCTTCTCACACAGAGAACAGACCTTTTGAGAAGGTGATGGGCTATGGGCTTGTTGATGACAACTCCTCCTTCCCGCCTCAGAATCTCTTCTAGAGCCCTCAGACAATTCACCACTACAATGGGATCCTGGTCACGAAGCAAACTGTATAGCTCATTCACCAGCACGCCATCTGCAGAGACACAAAGGCACTTAGATCATCAGAGACTCAGAGGCACTGCATCCATTCAGGCAAGACAGTCACTGTCCATGAGCGGCCTCAGGAATATGGGGACCATGACACAGCACCTGGGAGGAAGAATTGTTACCAGCAAACTACAAACACCCTTGACTTTCCAGTAACATTAGAGTATGGCATAGGTATTCTCTAAAGAGCCCTCTCTACGCAGTATCACTGCACGTGTGGCAGTCAGGTGCTAGAGGAAGAGGCTCACACATAGCACAGAAAAAGAAGCAGGAAAGGAAGAGTCCCAGCCCAGTGAAGCAGCAGATATGAAAGGAGTATTCCTCTGTGGAAACTCACCCTGCCAGACCTGAAAATGCCCAAGAAGCAGATTCCATTAGGGATCTGCCTTATGTTCACAGGCTGCCCCCCTCCCCCTGCCTCCACTCCTGTGGGATCCAAAACCAACGCACAGCCCAGTGAATCCAGGCCAAACAGGGAGCCTTGACTCTAAAGAGCAGCACCTAAATGAGTTGTATGTATCTTATCTAGTAGAGAAACAATCTTCCTCTCCCCAATGAAAGCTCTAGGACAAAGTATGACCATACCCTCCTTCCTCCAGTGCAAAATCTGACTACTTACCCACTTCGGTGTCACCTTGGAGTTTCTGCATCTTTGCACAGCCAAGAACAGCTACTCTCCTCACATAGGACGCTTTGTCTCGCAGACCATTCAGAACGGGCTGCTGGATGTACTCCTGTATGCCAGGCATCCTACGAATAAGTATGTATCATTCTGGATTCATTCAAAATCCCTCAAGATATCCTAGGGTGCTCCCCCATCTACAGCAACCACTTTTACAAACTAAGGGCTTTCCTTGCTGTTCTCTTTCAATAATCCCCCTACACGCAGGTAACCATTTTCCATTCTGTGCACATCTCTTTTGCGTCTTTTAAAAGAATTAAGCAGCATAAAGAAAACACTCAAGGCATGTGTGTCATTTCTGAAGTCCTGAGTCCCCACCCAGAATATCCAGGCACTGCTATTCAGATGAATACATTAGAAAGCCAGAAGGGATCACTGTGATCATCTAGTCTGACCCACTGCATAAAACAGGCCATAGAATGACCCTGAATTAATTTCTATTTGGCCCAGAGAATATCTAGAAAAACATCCAATCTTGATTTAAAAATTGCCAGTGGAGATTCCTCATAACCTTTGGTAAATTGTCCCAATTGTTAATTGCCCTCAATGTTAAGAATTTCCACCTTATTTCTAGCTGAATTGGTCAAGATTCACCTTCCAAACACTGGATCTTCTTATATCTTTGTGTGCTAAACTGAAGAGCTCATTACTAAATATTGGTTTCCAGGGTAGGTATTTATAGTTTGTGATCCCATTTCTTTAAACTAAATAAATTCAAGGACCTCAATGTAACACTCTAAGGCTATGTCTACACTATGCACCTTTTAGTGACACAGCCGTACTGCTAAAAGGCGTGCAGCGTAGCCGCTGTTTGTCAGCAAGAGAGAGCTTTCCTGCCAACAAAAAACTTGCACCCCCCACAAACGGCAGTAGCTTTGTTGGTAGAAGAGCTCTCCTGCCAGCGGCGCTTTTCGTCAGCAAAACTTTTGTCCTTCAGGGTTGTTGGTTTTCAACGCTCCTGAATGACAAAAGTTTTGTCGTTCACGGTCCAGTGTAGACAAAACCTAAGACAGTGGTTTTCAACCTATTTACCATTGTGGGCTGCATCCAATGCTACCTGTACGGCTCTGAGGATGTCACATCGGCTACAGCTCAAGTGCTGATTGGGCTGTAAGCAGCCCATAGGCTGCAAGTAGAGAACCACTGCTCTTAGACAAGTTTTGAAAACCTTTAGTCATTTCTGTGGCTCTTCCCTGAACCTTCGCCTATTTATCAGCATCCTTCTTGTACTGCTGAAGGCAAAAGCAGACACAGCATTCCAGTAGCAGTTGCACCAGGCCAAATAGAGCGACTATAACCTCCCTTCTCCTACTTGAGTGTCCTCATTGCCTGAGCACTTAAGCCAGGGGTGGCCAACCTGTGGCTCCGGAGCCGCATGCGGCTCTTCAGAGGTTAATATGTGGCTCTTTACCTAGGCACTGATTCCGGGGCTGGAGCTATAGAAGCTAACTTTCCAATGTGCCGGGGGGGTGCTCACTGCTCAACCCCCTGCTCTGCCCCAAGCCCAGCCCCCACTCCACCCCTTCCCCCAAGGTCCCTGCCCCTTCCCCTGAGCCTGCCATGCTCTTGCTCCTTTACCCTTCCCCCCCATAGCCTCCTGCACAAGTGAAACAGCTGACTGCAGAGGGAGGAGGGAGGAGGTGCTGATTGTTGGGGGCTGCCAGCAGGCAGTAGGTGCTAGGAAGCTGATGGGGGGACTGCTGACATATTACTGTGGCTCTTTGGCAACGTACATTGGTAAATTCTGGCTCCGTCTCAGGCTGGCCACTGCTGGCCTAAACAGTCTATAATCATAATCTCCCACACCCCCAGCCGCTTTCTCAGGCAGGTGGAGATCACTAAAACGATGACTAACAACAGGCTGCATTCACCTAGGAAACAGCAACGTTCCCAAGAGCTAGGCCACACCACTGCACTTAGGTCCCCACTGCTAAGACCATAGGCAGGGTCATGCGTCCATCTCCCAGCCAAGTCGCTTCCATACCTGAGGCTGCACATGCTGCGGAGGGCGAGGCCTCGGACCATGGGGTTGGGGTCGGAGCAGTCTTTGCACAGGGTGTTGATAGCCAGCAGCGCTAGGTCGGGCTGCAGAGAGGCGTACGTGCACATGTACAAGTAGACCAGCTTCTTCTGCACGATGTCCCCCGTGGCACTGGCCTTCACCATCTCCATGAAAACCCCGGACACATCCACGCCTTGGGTCATGCGCCTGAAACCGCCGCACGAGCAGCAGAGAGAGCAAAGCCGAGCTCAGGGCTGGGGCTGGGGCTGGGGCTGGGGCTGGGGCTCGCTCTCCCTCCCTCCCGGGCCGCCGCCGCCAGCCCTGCTCGCCCCGACCCGCCCGTCCCAGGGGGGCGCCCCGGCTCCGCTCGGGCCCGTCCCAGCCAGCCGCGGGGCAGCGCGCGCACGGGCCGTACCGGATCACGCGCAGCAGCACGTTGCGGTAGCGCAGCCGGTCGGCCTGCGCGTGGCGGTTGGACAGGGCTCGGCGCAGCTCCGCCACGGCATCGTCCGCGCCCCAGTACGGCATCCCCGCTGGCGTTAGGTTGTTCCGGCAGGCACCGCCCCCGGCTCTTCCGGATCGGCACAGGAAGTCCCGCCCCAAACCGACCGGACGAGTGGTACCAGCTCTCACTCCGCACGCGCACTGCATGACTACCCAGAGCGCCGCCGTCGCACCACGCATGCGCAGCATATCCAACGTCCTCGGAGAGCAACCGCCCCGCCCACCATAGCAAAAGGACGCATGCGCCTAATCGGCCCTACTACCGTGATGCACTTCGCGCTTGCGCAGTGCCGCTCGCTGGCGCTGCCACTCAAGTCATCGGCGGGAACGGGACGTTTGGGAAGAATCTG